AACAAGGACGCAATTTTAAAGCAAATCAAAGGATTACAATTATCCGATTCCACCATTATGAGGCGGATTGAAGACATCGGCAAAAACGTGAGTGACCAGCTCTGTGCAGATGTATCAGCAGCGCCGTGTTTCAGCATCACCGTAGATGAAAATACTGATGTGACAGATGTTGCTCAGCTGTGTATTTGGGTGAGGTTCCCAAAAGAAAACTGTTTCAGGGAAGAAATGTTATGCTTACTTCCACTCCTTGGCCAAACGAGAGGTGAGGACATTCTGAATGCAATTTTGGCGTTTTTTGATGAAAAAAAGCTAAGTTGGTCAAGTCTAGCAAGTGTGTGCCCGGATGGAGCCCCAAGCATGCAAGGAAAAGAGAAGGGGCTTGTTGGGCTCATGAAAAAAAGAGAGGAAATGCCGAACTTTATCAGTTTCCATTGTATCATACATCAGGAACGCTCTTAACTTGCAACTTCAAGGAAGAGATAAGCTTCCAAGCAACATGCAGTCAGAGCATTTCAGAACAAAATAAACACTCTGTATATACCAGACAGAGAATTCATTAATTTCCCAAAACTCAGAGCTGTCACCACAAATGACCCAGCTCTGCACCAGCACTGCAGCCACAGAGGACTTGTGGATGTTTTGGAAGAGCTGAGGGGTGAATTTGAATCCAGATTCAGTGATGTGAATGAGCACAAGGAGATGTTCAACTTTATTGAGACAGACAAAAGACATTCTGAAAGTTGAACTCAGAGCAGGTGTTGGTCACTTCTGGAGTTTGGTGTCGGAAGAAGATTTTCCCACTTTGAAGCCACTTGTACAAAAAAAGTGATGTCCTTCTTCCTGAGCACATACACGAGTCAACATTCTCAACCATGAACATTATAAAGAGGAAACAGAGAAATCGCCTCTCCAATGCACATCTTCAATGCCTCACAAGGATTGCAACAACGAATTACAACTATAACATTAAGAAAGTCAAGGAAATGCATGCCTGCTTCCGCTCATCACAGTATTAAGAATCCTGCTTTTAATTAGGATTGTATTGGCTGCATTGTGTAATGTATGTTGTGGGATGACAAATGAATAAGCAGACATGATTTTAATGACTGGAGGTGGCTTTTGATAAACCGTGGTAAAAATGGGTCTCCTGGTGACTTTGTCCTGTCGGTATGGCTCTCATAGAAAAAATAGTGAGGATCACTGTTCTAATGGATATACTTTTAAAGCCGGTGATGTGAGTTAAAACAAAAATACAGAGGTTGGTTTCAAATATAATGCCCTTTCATTGCTACAGACTGATTTGAACTCTTTAAAGAAAGCTCTTGTTCATCTTAAAAACTGAAGTTGAACCCCGAAAAAATGAAATATATGATTTTCTCAAAACAAAAATTTTAACCCTTTACAGCCGACAATGTAAACTTTGAGTTTGTCCAACAGTTTAAATAATTCAGGTATCTGGCTAGAGATACTGTATCATCAGGATTTGTCTTATAGGTCACACATTTCACGTTTAACTGGAAAAAGACGGCCTCAACTTAGTATTCTTTCTAGGAACAAATCATGCCGAGTGCAAAACAGAAAAAAGATTGTCCAGGCTACTATACTGTTTTAGAATATGGAGACACACTCCACACACATGCAACTGCTTCTGTCTTGAAGCCTTTAGATGCCTTATATCACAGTGCTCTTCGCTTTATCACAGGCCACAGATTTTCAAACATATTATGATTATTATTATTTTTTTATTTTACCAGGTAGTCTCATTGAGATTTTGGAATCTCTTTTTCAAGAGAAACCTGGGTACATCAGTGGCAAATAATAAAAACATCGAAGTAACAGACATCAAAAACACAAAGTAGATGCATGGCCAATACAAACAAAAACATCATACAAACACATTAAAAGTCAAGTCAGGTGTCCAATTCAGAGCTATTAACATAGACAAATCCCAATTGATTTAAATTTGTGCTCTTTCAGCATCCCTTTAAATTCCATTAGAGATACCAGATAACTCAGATGCAAGTCAGCCTGTAGTGTGTTCCAAGAAGAAGGGGGCGGAGTACCTAAAGGCCATCTTATCTAATTCTGTGCGGACCTTAGGTACAGACAGCAATAACTGGTCAGATGAGCGTAGGCTATAGCTACCGAAGTTGCATGAGATTAAAGCGCATAGATAGGATTGTCCAGCCAAATCCCTAGGTATTTATAGGATTCTACCATCTCAATTTGGGAACCCTGAAGTGTGTGAATACCAATAGGAACATTGTTCACATAGGACCTTGAAAATAAAACAAATTTTGTTTTATCAGAATTTTTAGATAAGCTTGTGATTAATGAGAGCTATCTGAAAGGCATCAAAAGCTGACTGCAAAGTTTTAATAGCTAATTCACAAGAGGCGCTTCTGGCATACAGGATTGTGCCGTCTGCATAAAAATGTACATCGCAATGTGGGGAAGAGAGCACCATGTTATTTATATACAAAGAAAATAAAAGTGGACCTTAAATGGACCCTTGTGGGACACCTTTTCTAATTTCAAGAGAGCTCGATCTGATACCTTCAGCAACAACAGCTTGAGTTCTCCCTGAGAGATAATCATAAAACCAGTTAACAGAGAGCTCATCAAATCCTACTGAAGATAGTTTATTTATTAAAATGCTGTGGTCAACAGTATCGAAGGGTTTGGATAAATCAATAAAAAGAGCAGCACAATGTTGACTGTTATCAAGATGATTAACAATATTGTTTATTACAAGTGTCGCTGCTGTGATTGTGCTATGCCCTGTTCTGAAACCTGACTGCTGAGTTTGCAATGGTGTTGTTGGCCACCAAGAAGGCCCTTAACTGAGAATTAACTAAAGATTCAAGGAACTGCAATGAAGGAAACATACTGACGAATTGTACCTGAAGAATTGACAGCAGTTGCCTGGTGACCCAACAATCTGCACAATCAAGCTCCCTCTTATAACGGGAGCAGCTCTTCTCAGGTCTGAGCAGAGGAGCTTCACGTCAGAGGTAAATGTGACTCACACTCACCTTTACTGAATGATCTCAAACATGTTCTTATATATTTAAAAATGATTGCAAATGACACTGTGTTATATTCTAATGAAACAGGCAGACTTATATGTATGTATGTACTTATAGACTTGTATGGCAACCTTTGTTTCATGTTCCATGTGTTCCTTAAAGGCCATATAGCAAAGATGATCCAGATTTTTCTTGATTCTTTTTAACCATTTCTTCATAGCTTTATCATACAGGAATTCATTTTTTAACTATTTTGCTCTTGACCAAAATACTATCCCCAATATTCCTATCAATTAAGACTGTATATAACATTTAAATTGTTGACTTGAATTTTTATTTTATTTTCTGAAACAGGTTCTCTACAAACTTTATTCATATACATTTGTGCATGCTGGAAACATGTTAAAGGGAATATGATGAACATAAATCTTTATTTTATTTTATTTTGATTTGACTTGATAATTTGATCATTCTTGGGATACATTTATTCAATTAAATTCAAACTTTAGTATGGGCTGAAGATGCAGTTAAAAGACAACACAACACATAAAAAGACATCATGACACATACACAATTTACAAGAACAAGAGCAATAAATACAATATATTTCTTTTGTCAAATGCTATGCTAAATGCAAACCTGCCTGTTGCTGAGAACGTTCTGTTCTTTACAGACAGCAGAAACTTTTACTTAGGTTTACTGTACTAAAAAAATGTTTTTGTTTGAACCTTAATGTGGATATTTACCGACATAATGTTTACAGAGGAGGTAAGTGGTCATACACATGTGAAAATCTGTGAAGGAGTCTGTGTATCTGTATTCATTTTCCATCCTACAAATGACAGTCTCTGCAGGCACTGGCTGAGAGCAGGAGTGTGTGATTAGTTTGTCCGTCTTTGAGAGCTCTTAGGGCGGATAGAAGTGTGTGAAAAGCGGCCTCTGGCTATATATCGGGAGTGTGTGATGAGTTTGTACTGTTGATCTCTGTAAGCGGAGCGGAGTGAAGAGGATTTGAGAACGTGCATAAAATGTCACTTCTTGGAGCTTTCACGGAAAATACGACCCGGGAAAAATTTTATACATGCAACATAGACAGTGAACATCTACCCTTTAATTCATTATACATTTATACATTATGTTTGGAACAATTTTGTCACATGGAATGTTTTTTGACTCATATTCTTAATTTATATTTAATCATGTTTGTAAATTGGAAGATTTGACATGAGCTGAGATTAAGTAAACTCAAAATACTGAGTTTCAAGACACAAGATTAACACTACCTGCTAGTTAAACTGACAATGAAGAAAGAAGAAGTTACTGTGACTTATTGTTTAACAGTGCATTCACATTCTTTACGATAATGCTTTTATATCACTTCTGTCATTAATTCCTGTACTAAAAAGCTACTCTAATTTTTAGCTGATGTTTCAGAGCTGATTCTTCTGCTGTTTGTGTAAATAACCTAATATATGTTTTTTGGATTTCCTAAAACATTTGTATTATATATTATTATTTACATTAAAGGTTTTAAAAAATAATAACAATAATTTCTATACATCATTTTTTGTTGTCTTAACAGGTACAAAAAGTTTGGAATTACTCCTTTTATATAATGTAACCCTCTTTAGCAAATTGATCAATCACAGTACTGTCGTTAATTTGTTCATGTATTTCTTCTCTTCATGGCTTTAATTCTGACTCAACCTACATTAGAACAAAAAACGTCTGTCTCAGTAAGAATCTTCATGGTAGACTAAGAATAACAATCTGAGCCTCTAAGTGAAAAAAAACAACCTTTAGTGGACAGGAAATGGGGTTGTTGCAGTTACAGATAGAAGCAATCTATGGCAGCAATAACAAAACCTTTCGTACCTAAAGTAAGTTGGATCCCAAAAATTACACTTTCAATGCAAATTTGTATATTTTTCTGTCTTTTGTCCTCACTACAGGCCAGAATTGCCCTTTTGCATGATGGAGAACCAGACTGTAAGCACAGATTTTCTACTTCTGGAAGGGATAAAACTGCTACCCCAGTCCAAAGTCGCCACCTTCACAGTTCTCCTCCTCATATACATCTTTATCCTGGTGTCCAACATTGGCCTGGTGGTCCTGATCTCATTGGAGAGGAGCCTCCACCAGCCCATGTATCTGCTCTTCTGTAACATGGGTATAAATGATGTGTTCGGGTGCACGGCGCTCATTCCACGCTTGCTGAGCGACCTCTTTATTCCTTACGCAGAGCGCTACATTCATTACATCAACTGTGTGATTCAGGCCTTCTGTCTTCACCTTTATGCCAGCAACTGTCACACCGTACTCATTATCATGGCTTTTGATCGCTACGTGGCAATCTGTAACCCCCTCCGATATGCCACCATCATGACCAGCAAGATGGTGGTGAAGCTGTCTGTGTCTGCCTGGGCGGTGTCGTTCATATTGGTGCTTATCCTGCTGAGCCTCAGTGTCCGCCTGTCGCGCTGTAGGGCGGAAATATTCCACCCATTCTGTGATAACGCCTCCCTGTTTAAGCTGTCCTGTGAAAGTGTCCTCATCAACAACATCTATGGTCTTGGCTACACCGTGCTCCTGCTGGGCACCTCAATCGGCAGCGTCACGCTCACATACATGAAGATTGCTGCTGTGTGTGTGATCAGTAAGAGCAAGGTGCTGAACAGCAGAGCGCTGCAGACCTGCGTCACACACCTGGCTGTGTACATCATCATGTTAATGTCAGGCAGCATAATAATTATCCTACACCGTTTCCCTCATTTATCACAAGAAAGGAAGATGTCATCCATCCTGTTTCACGTCATTCCTCCTGCCATGAACACTGTTATCTACGGACTACAAATCAAAGCAGTCAGAGAAAAAATCCTTATCATGTTTTTACGGAAGACAATGGCTGTGGCAGATGTGAAATGACCCAATGACTTTAATTAAACAAGTGTGAATTAAATAGTTGCAAATGGCATCCAACATTCTGTAGGCTAATGAAACAGCTATATCCTCACTTTACAAATCATTCACCTATTTAATCACACATGTGAACTATTATTTTCATAATGTTTAACCACAAGTTTAAACCATATTTTTGATAAAATAAAGTTGATTTACACAATTGTTTTCAGTATTTTTTGATTGTTTTTATATGCTGTTTAAGATAATACAGACCTACTATAATAGGTCTTACAGTACAAACATATTGCCGTGGAAGGCTGGATATTTACGCCCAAGGGTGTAGGTTTAATTTTGAAATTGGTGGGGACATAGCCCCCCCCCACCATCACCACCACGCACAAAAATTGTATACGTTGTTAAGCGGTGTAATGACACTAATGTAATGACAGACGAGGAGGCTGTGTAATAGCGATGTCTGAACTTTACTTCAGTCATAGTGCAAACCACTGCATTAAACTTTGCATCATACATAGCATTAACATTACAACAAAACACAAGCATGTAGACTGCTATTATACAGAAACACGTATTCTGCCTGCTCCTTATATTTATATACAATTTCACAGATCTACCACAGAGTGCCTTAGTCCTTTTTTCTATTTTTTTTACATAAATCCCAATATACACTGCTATCACACCTTCAATCCTAATAGCCCAACATCTACTGCCTTGCTCTTATGTAAAAGAGCCAAGCAAATGGCGACGCCTCTCATTAACACCAATGAACTGCTGGCATATTTGTTTAATGTCAACATTATCCAACTTCTCTTGGTTGACATGGCACACAGCAGCATGGTTCAACCTTATCTGTGTCATTGTGGTTCTGAGCCATGTTTTAAGTCTCCTCAGAGAGCTGGAACTTTGTTCCGCCTCTGACGATGATACAGGGATGACTAACAAAAGCCTCAGAAGGGTTTCTACTTGATCAAATAGGCCCCTGACCTCAACTGGCATCTCTCGCATGAGATCAGCCACATCTGTGGTGGACTGAATTTTGTATTTAGACCTGAACATTGACAGCTGAATTTTAAGGCTGTTGATGTTTAGCTCTGGGTACCGACCAACAATTTCACTGACTTCCCCAGTGACCAGCACATCCTCAAGTTCCTGTAAGATCTCTCAGATCAGGCTGGTTAAATCTTGCCTCAAACTGGACAGCTACACATTTTGTAGTATTCGGCCCTGTAGTATTCCTCTGGCGTTTTTGGAATATGCTGGCTTGCCCCTCCAGTATAGCGTTTTGGAGGAGGCCTTTGGTAGGGAACCTGAATTGGTTCAATCCCAAGGGATTCAACCATTTCCACTGCCTTAACAAAAATCACGTGGAAGCTTGTCTCACTCCTCTTACTCTGTACAGTGGATCTTACACAATCAATCGCACTCTTTATGCCTGCGATAGTTTCAGTCCGTTTCTGCAGGGACTTGTTCAGACATTCAAGGACCTCAATTACCTCTACTGCCAAAAGAAGTCCTAACACTGTTTTGCCCTTTTCAAAACGATCTTTGAGCCCATTTGCCTTCGCACCTGTGCTGGTGCCATTGTTGGCTCCCATCTCCTCTAAGCTAGTCAAAACATTCTCATACTGGGAGAGCACTGCTCTGATTTCTTTCCCTCTCACTGTCCACCGGGTGGGGCACAGTGGTCTGAGTGAGGCTGATGGTCCGTCCCCTGAAGCTGGTGCTATTGCTGGAAAGATGGCTTTGAATTTCCCTGAGAGCTTGCTTAATGTCCCCAACTCATGCACCCATTGCAAAGCATCACGTATTAAAGGACTAGATTCACATGCAGACTGTGTTATCAAGTTAATACAGTGTGTCCCACAATGCACATACAATGCCAATGGTTGCTGCCTCTTCATTTCTGCTTGTACTCCTGAATGCATCCCTGACATATTTGCTGCCCCATCGTATGTTTGACCTCTTAAATAAGCAATGGGAATGTTAAGCCTTAAGAGAACATCCCTAGCCACTCTAGCAATTGCCTTTCCAGTAGTACCTGAGACCTCATATAAGCCAACAAAAACCTCATGAGGTACTAGGTCGTTGTCCACATATCTGATACATATGGACTCCTGCTCTACACCACAGATATCCTGAGTCCCATCTATAATGATGGAGTACTGCATGACGGGTAAAGCCTGGATTGACTGTGCAATACCTCTGACAATGCTGTTTCCTAACAACTGCAAAATCTCATTTTGCACTTGTGGAGCTGTATAGTCATGAGAGCGGGACAGCCAGTCAGAGAGGCGGGTATCTCGCTTGGCTTTCTGTTTCAGATGTTGGCAAAAATGACCTTCTTCAGAACTGTGCCCTCGCAATGCCAAGCCCTGTCTAGCGAGGTACTATACAGAATCTACAATGCTCTCTAGGCAGTGCCTAGCATTATCTTGCTGTTTTGCCCATGCACTTGAGAGTTGTGACTCTATTGGGGCTGCCTCTTGGCTACTGACTGTGACTGCATGGTGGTGAGCTTTGCTATTCTGATTGGATTCAAATCTATGAAGAGCATTTTTCCAATTAGCAAATCCCTTTGAGGAGAATGCCGGGTCTGCTTTTTTGGACAGTGTACTTTTCTTTATTGTGTATGTTTTCACACAGTGGAAGCCAGGGACGGACTGGGACTACAAAACAGCCCTGGACTTTGACTCGGCCGGCCACAACAATCCATACGCGGAAAGTCCTCAACGCCTGGCACGGGTGTCACAATACTTTAATCATGACTCATGACACAATACCATCCAAATTACAACAATAGCACTGATGTTGACTAGATCTTGTGTTAAGAGCATAGTATTCTAGTCTTACTTGAATACTCACAAAGAAATGAAGGTGTCCTCACACTGCAGTCCCTCTACTGTCAGGTATTTTGTCTTCTTCTGAGGGTGGTAAGAAAAAAAAACCTCTAGGCTGTGACTGTCTGAATTGGGGCGCTTAAAGTAATTTAAGGTTGAGCTGGCGTGGGTGTCATCCTCTGCCCTCGGTCTAAGCTCAACCTGATTAAACAAATGATGGAATGGATTAAAAAAAACAGGTTTTATGTATCCAATTGATCATAACATCATCTATTCCATGCAATCTTATGATTACTTTATTACTCAATAATCTTAATTAATTTATGCAGTAATTAACTTACTGCACAAATAATGAAAATACACCACTACAAATGTAACTTCTGTATTCAAAGTCTTCAAACTTTGTAAGTATTATCAGAAAACTGTAACGTTACCAAAACTTTAAACATTCTAGGTGTAAAATGCCACATGCAGTAATATTAAAAAATAGGCTATATACTGTATATATAAAAAACTGTTGTGCTTTTACTTTTTAAAGTGGAGCTGTTTTAACTACTATAATCATTATTTCACTTTATTTTATTTCATTTATTTTTTTGCAATGTACTGAGCAACACAAACTGGGTATAGATAAAAATGTTGCAACACCTGAATAACATTTGCTAACATCAGCCAGCAAGTAACTCTCTTTCTCCCTCTCTCATGTCATGTTTACATACTTATTTGCCCTGTATCCGTCTGTGGAACTTCCACCAGCTCATCTCTCTGTTCCTCATCATCACAGGTGGCCCTACCATGCTGAGGCTACACAACTGTCTGGCTCGCCTCAACACTCTCTTCTTCACTCATGCTGCTAACTTCTTGGAGCTTGCTGCTAACGTCAACTTGTGCCGCAGTGCTGCTGCTGCTGCTGGCTGTGCTGCTGCTGCTGCTGCCAGCTGTGCACACAAAGGATTTAACCCTTTGTGTGCCGCATGAGGTGCCTTTTTTTTCCTTCAACCTTAATATTGGTGTGGACATTTCAGCCATTGTTTGAGATTGGTATGGACACGTCCATACGGTCCATACGCAATTCTACGCCTATGTTTACGCCCCTGTGACACTTGACTGCAATGTGTATCACAGAAAGCTCACAACCTTTTCCACCCCGGCCCAAGCTCTCAGTTGATGAAAAAGACATGATTAAGAAATAGAGTACAACAGTCTAAAGAGCTACAATAGATCACTTTGTCTTTGGGTTATTTGTAGTACAAGACCTGTTGAACAGATTGTATTAAGAAATTTAAAATAAATGTGAACTGAAGCAGTGGAAGGAAGGGATGGATTTCAATCTTCATGGTTAAACCCATAGCAGCTCTTCACTTCCTCTTGTATGTTGTTAATTTCCCTCTGTTTGTCTCAACCCTCTGTTTATCCTCCCGTGTGTCGTGATTGCACGTGAGTGTGGTTTTCTCTGTAGGCAGCCCAGGTGCAGGCAATTTCCCCCTCGTCATCCGGCAGTATTGCTGCCCTGGTCTCTTCACCTCTCGTCGCCTGAGTACAACATGTTTTACTGTAGTAAATCGCCTGTTGTTGGCTTATTTATAATCTATAGTTCATTGTGAACTTGTGCTTTTGTGTTTTAGCTTGTATGCTAACCTCTGTGTCACTCTGCCTCAGATATCAGCCGTATTGCCTGATCGCTTGCCTGCCTGCCTGCCTGCCTGCCTGCTCACTCACCGGTCTGCCGGTTCACTCTCTATGAGGATTTGGACTCGCTCGGCTAAACCGAGCCACACTCACAGTGCACCACGTGGAGGAGCTTCACCTACAACTACGCTTTGGTACCCTGGACTCACTCCCCGTCGCTCCTTTTTGCACAATTACTAGATGTTTCACAATTAAATTACTGTTAAATTGTTCCTCTGTGTCTGCTTTTGGGTCCTTAACCTTTCTGCCGAGTCATAACATTAATGAACTGTGACTAACTTCTTCATTGATGGTGCGGACAATGAAACAGAGGTGATTAATGTGTCACCTAAGTGGATATGAGGATGTATATAGAACCAAAAACAGTTGGAGATATGATGGACAATTAAAATGAACATATTTAAAAAAATAAAAAATAAAATAAATGTGGAAATGCCTTCTAAATACAGGGTGAATTTAGGGATTCATACATAAATCATT